ATGGAAATCCCACATTGAAAACAGCAGCTGCGTTGGCCAACCAAGAACATCATTTGCTCAATTGCATTGAGTTGTTTACTTGGGTTTTACATTGCCTAAGGGATGATGGTGTGGGACTACTTTATAAGACGCGATATAATTGAGAAATTTTGAGGCCTTCTTTGTTGTCCTTTTTTTAAAAAAAACATTGGCCATTCTTCATTCCATGAAGATGTTTTCAAAATACATAAATAAAGCATTTCTCAATTGGCATATCAGAAATTAATGGAAGCAAAACAGAAAATGGCTATGCATTTTACTCGTATGGAACCATTTGCCCGGAAATATTTCTTTACCAGATTAGGAGGTGAAGTCATCTTGCCTACACTGGCATGATGTACAGCTATCACCTGACCTTAGATGAGGGGTCAACAAAATGTTCCTGGAGAGGAAGACTCGGAGATCTATGGGGGCTTCTAAAACTTTGTGATGGAAGTACCACAATCTTGGAATTCCATTTTTTAATGAACTTTTTGAAGCTACCTCATATAGTCTGCCATTATTAATAAAATCCATTGCTGGAGAACAAAAGTAGCCAGAGATAATAATATGTAAAATGCAGGTGGCTGGGTGTCAATAAAACATTGTCTACCAAGACAGGTGTTGAGTTGTTTTGGCCCCTGGTCTTGTTAGATAACCCTGACTGAAACCAAAGTAATACACATTGTGCCCATAGTCACATCTGATTGACAACCTATGACCTGCTGCTCTATCTTGGTGAGTGAATGAATTGTGGCTATGTGAAGAACTGTAGGGATGACCATTCATGCCGGTCCTTCAGTGTTGCTGAGTTTCTCAACCCAAGCCTGGTTTTTTAAAAATCTCTTCATATTCATGTGAAAACTGGGACAATGAATAAGAAAGAGCGAAGATGAACAGATGCATTTAAATTATGACTTTGGTAAAAAAAACACCCCCCCCAACTATATTGACTCTATACATTCATTGAATTGGAATCATCAGACCATTTAAAACAGACAGATGCCTTTTAAGTGGCTGTATCAAGTTAGACATTAGATGCTGTCAGAACGCCTCTTTCCCTCCAACTTTCTGGTGTTCTCCTTTGCTCTCAAGTTGGAGCCAACCTTATGGACAACATATGAAAATGCTGCCCAGTGCTGGGCCATGGTCATGATTGCTACAATGTCTGAGGCCACTGCTGCGACTGATATGTGGTGCCTTCCAACTTATAGGCCTCTACTTGCAGCCTGCTACGGCATGATGGTCTCGTGTGGTCTACAGGTTTTCACTGGCCGGTTTTCAGAATCATACCACAGGCCTTTCCTCCTAGTTTTCCATCACCTTTAAGCTCCACTGACCCCGCCCCCTCCTGTGACATCCCCCCCAATGGTTGTGGATCAGGCTACTGTGATCCATGCACTGGCTTTCACAAGAAGAACACCAATCATTTGTTTCTCATCTCTCTTAGGAAACTCTGCAGAGGAAGAAACCCTGTCCACCTGTAGGTGACCCTCTCCCCTCCTGGTATCTGTTGCACAGTTTCAAGCAGTACATTACCACACAGGCCAATACAGTTCAACAGACTGACAGATGGGATTCAATGTGAAACAGAGAGAGAGAAAAATGTCTCTTGAGTTTAGCTTGCTTTTCTTTAATGAATATGAGGCTAAGGGTCTCTTCTGGTATCATAAAGTACTTGCATTTCATAATCTGTAAGTGATCTGTACATTGTCTATATTTTAGTTTGTTTTTCTTTATTACATTAATTTCAAATTTGTAAGTTTTAAGTCATCAAGAAATTAACCCTTGGCTTGTCAAGGGTGTTGATAATTTGTCTTTTCATTTTTATTTATTTATTGGCCACACAGAAAATTCTATTGTTGCATGTAGTGAAATTCATTACTTCTCCTCAAAGTTTCTAGAAAGCATGTCTTCTAAGCAAACTCTCTCCATAAAAAAATAGATACTTTTTTATCTTCAGATATGTATTCCATATAAAATTATTTTGATGAAAGCAATAATGTCAAAATCTAGTTGTCCCCACACACCTCGACATGGGTATTCCGTTGTCTGAAGTATCATAAGTCCATTATCGAACACATATTGGGTCCATTGTCTCAGCGATTTGCCTGGTTCTGAGTCAGTACAATATTCTTTTACTTCCTTTACTTTCATGACATATTTTAACAAATGCAGAGGGATGATCCTCATTAGACCTCTTTACCAGATTTTTGTCCTGGTGAGCAATTAAGTTATCACTTTCTAATCAAAATGTTGGCAGATGAACCCACCCATGTGAGTCCGAATAGGCCTGTGCTCCTCGGGGTTTTCAATGGATGGTTTTTCTAAACTCGTTCCCTAGGCCTTTCTCCCAAGGTGTCGCTGAATGGAATCAAATCTCCAACTTTCTGATCAGCGGTCAAATGCATTCAGTGTTTTCACTGCTCAGGGACTTCACAAATAGAGACATACATACATAATGGTGGGTCTCAACTAGAGGTGCTTTTTGTCCTCAAATATCCAAGAGATATTTGGAAGTATCTGAAAATATTTTGGATTGTCACAACTTGGGAGAGGAGGCTGAATTCTACATGGTTGTGGACAGAGGTACTGCTTAACACCCTAAAATGTCCAGGATAGCCCCCACCCCAAGAATGATCTAGCCCCCGATGCCCAAGTGCCCAAGTAGAGCAATACCGATATGTACCCTAACATCTCTCACTCAGCGAGGTCCCAGATCCTGTCCCCACTAATTGACAAGGTGGCTGTGGCAGCAGTCCAGAGCTCTCCCTCACTCCCCCAGCCTTAGATGGCTTTTATTTACCTAGAAAAGAGAGCTGCCACTGGGGAACCTGGTGTATGACAAGGGGGATGGTGACTTCACAAAGTGACTTGAATTCTGGGTTGAATACATGTCCACATAAGGTCTCCTGGAGCAGATTCTCCCTGGGACTGCTTCAGTTCTGGTGTTGCTTCTCCTTGTTCCTGATGCAAAGAGTGCACTACATGCATAGCCTTTTACCCAATGAAAAATGTTATGAAATGTGTCTGTCTCTGCTGCTTCTTTCAGAAGTGAATGTGGCTTTTCCTCTCTGGGGATCGGGCCACACTCTCAGGTTGTAAGAAGGTACTGGCCCAAGTGCACAGGCTGTTTTCCTGTTTTCGATTGCAATGGGAATTTAGGCTTTAGAAGTCATTTTCTAACTGCGGGAAGAGAGAAGGAAAGGTGCAGTGGGGTGGGGAAGAGCAGACACCATCCATTGGAGCTAAAGCTATTAATTTGGGCAGATAATCATAGACATTGAATCTGGAGTGAGATCTGTGCCAAGTGCTAACGTGGCAGCTTTGATCTTGGAGTGGGGTGCTTAATCCCCATGCAACCCCCCACATGGAGGTTCTCAATGAGGCCAGCTTCACATGGCCAATGCTTGATCTGGGAAAAAGAAATTCAGCTGCCAGAGCCTAGAACCCAAAGAAAGGCTGCCAAGGCAGATGAGACATGGGTGGGGTCTAATGACAATGGTGACACACTGAAGCTGCCCAGTCTGTTAAGATCATAGGGATTTCCTGATGGGTGTATTTGGCCCTCACTGGCCCGGATGAAGGATGAGGCAGCATATTCATCAGCTGTTGGGCGTCCCGTGGAAAGGGAAGCACAGTAGCTGTGGGAGGGTGATGGCAATGGCTGGGGCTGAATTCCAGCAACAGAAAAAGGTGGTCATCGGTCTCATGAGCCCAGATGCACAGAAGATGTTGGGGGGAGAGTGTGTGAAATTTCCCCTCCAATTACTTGTTTGCTCTCCGTGAAATGGGAGATGGTTTCCTCTGAGTGAGGCTGGGGAAGACGCAGGATGGCTCTAGTTGCCTACATGTCCACGTGACTCACAAAGGGCCCCATATGTTCCAGGGGACTTTTAGGCCAAAATCTTTCACAAGAAGATGGTTAAGCCTGTCCTCCAAGGTCCTTCCAGGTCAATGTGAACTAGGAGCCTTTGGGCTCTTAGTCAAATATTCCTCTGATGCTCCACCAGGCTACCTTTGAGGGTTACCCACCACCATGGAATAAATTCCAACTCATATGGACACTGCACAGGGTTGCCATGGCTACAGATCTTTACAGGAGGAGACAGCCTCCTCCTTCTCCTGAGGAATGGCTGGTGGGTTTGAACCATGAAGTTAGCAGCCCAACCTTGACTCTACACTGCCGATCAGGGCTCCCTATTGGAGGGGGAATGGCTGGGAATTTAAGCTGCAAATGAACCACTTGAAATTCCCCATCCACTGCCTTCAAGTCAACCCCGTAGGGCAAACGAGAACTGTTCCCTAGGGCTTTGGAGGCTGTACATCTTTACGGAAGCAGACCGCCTCATCTTTCTCGTGTTAGAGTAACAGCATGCCAGGGCCTGCTTGCCATCTCGACTGGAACAAGGCTCTGAGTTTGCAGAAGCACAAGGCGGTCCAGCTTGCACAGTTTCCAAGGTCGTCCTGGGGGTGGGGTCGGGGGACCCTTAGAACACCAGGCGAGAAAGACCGGACTCAAACAAGTGCACTTTAGCCGAGTACATGAATGGCAGCGTGCTTGCAGAAGGTCTACTGATGAACTTGAGCCAATTGGGAAAACATTCTTTTCTACCGCTTCTTCTGAAATCACATTGGGATCCACACAGTTATTTTCTCCCAAGACTGTCCGTGGACCTCTCTGAACATTCATTTCTCTGGTTGTTCTGCTGCCAAGCTGACTGCAGAGATACATCCATACAGTTTTCCTTTTCCTGCCCCCCCCCTCCCTGACCTTCCCCTTTCAATAAACATATTAGCTAACATGAAAAAGGTTCTGCTGGAACCTGTCTTTCAAAATATACACTCGTGCCAGCCAAGCACCACAAGATGGTTGTTTGCTTCCTGGTGGAAGGTTTAGTGGCGAGGAGACAGTAGCTGGCGGCTTGGCCCCAGGCGGATGTTGGATGCACCGCGGGGCCCAACAGCAGCCCAGCCCTTACCTTTGGGAATGGTGATCTGACAGCTGAGGTCACAGTCCTGCTGCAACTGATAAAAAGCCACTTCCTGCAGCCGGGCTCGCTCCAGCTCCGAGAGACTCTGGATGGGGACTGACCTCAGCCGCACACTCCGGCCCGACATGCTGTTCCAGGTGAAATCACCCTGCAGGCCAAGGGAAAAGCATCAAGAGTTACTTGAGCCACCAACTTCTCATAACACCACTCGCCCTCCCTGTTAGTCATAAAGGCAAACCCTCGCCACCTTGGAGTCCCAATTTCTCCTATCAAATCCGCTCTGAATTGGCAGTGGATTTTTTCAGTCTGTGGCCGACATCAACATTTTGAGTATTTGCTGGGGGGACCAGGTCACATCAAATGATGGCTCCATAGGCCAAGAACTCCATGTGGAGAGCCTCGCGGAAGGTCCTATGTCCTTGACCAGGAAATGCTCTTGGGGACACTTAAGAACCTCTTTTTTTCCTAGCTCCTGCGCAAAAGAATGATTCCTAGATTTTATGCAGCAAAGCCTATCCTGCTAATTGCCATTCCTGATGACATATGCACACTTGTTCCAGGAGGGTGAACGGAAAATCCATGAGGACGAGCGCAGAGCCTACCAAGTACCAGCGACTGTACCCAGGGTTTATTTTCGTCCATCTCACAAAGAACCTTAGGAGATGGAAGGACCTCTCTGACATAATGTCCATGCGACAGTAACATCCTAGGCGAGGCGCCTTGGTGGTGCTGTGCTTAGATTCAAACCCACTTCGTTGTTCCTTGGGGGAAAGGCCTGCGTGTCATAAGTTGGCTCCTATAAAGAGTACCCCTGAACCTCCACTGCCGTCGAGTGGAACTCCTCATTACCCTCCAGGCCAGAATACACTTGCCCCACGGAGCACTCCTTGGAGTGGCTGGTGCCATCAGCAGCCCAACGCTTTACCCTGAGCTCTACCAGAGCTCCCCCCACCCCCCGCCCTAACACGCTCATGGAGATTATGAGCTGGCAAACCCCACTGGGCTGAGTTCTAATTGCCGCCTCTCTTGTCATTCTTGAAGATACGCTCAGCTCTACATACACATTGGTGTGTGTGTGTGTGTGTGTGTGTGTGTGTGTTTCATAGGCATCATGCACTCTTTTTAATGTAATGTTGACTTGGGTGATTTTTATAATAACTCATTTTCATCTGTGGAATTGGGGGGAGGGGGAGGAATAAAGAAAACATGCTGATTCAGAAGCGTAAACTTGGTGGGAGCTGGGATGTGGGGCAGTGTGCGCTGTTGTCAGAGCTGGATACCTGGCTTTCGCTTTGACTAGAAGTGCACTTGGATCCTATGCCTGGCCTTTGGAGCCATGTGCACAAAAACAATGTTCACATCTTATTTTCGCTAGATCATTGTGTTTGACCATAAGCTCATAAAATGCACGGCATATAACGTGAAACTATAAGACCTATAGGATAAATTCTAATACCTAGAACGCCACAAAAACCCCATTGTTCTTGAGTCAATCCCAACTCCTACAGGATGGAGTAGAACTGTCCCAAAGCTGACAAGCTGGATGGAAGCAGACTGCCACGTCTTTCTTCCACAGAACAGCTTGTGGTTATACAAGACCAACTTGTTGGTTAGCGGCTGAGTGCTAAACCACTGGGCTACCAGGACTTGTTATAATGCGGGTATATACTTATGACACATTTATACAGTAGAAAACAGTATATTATATTCTCATTCTTACCTAATAATAGATAATAAGGTTGAACAGTTCGTACCCTATTAGTCAATCTTGACTCGTGGTGACCCCTGGCGCGTCAGAGTGGAACTGCACTCCATGGGGTTTCAAAGTAGATCACCAGGCCTTTCCCCAAGGCCCCTCTGTGTGAATTCATACCTCTAAATGGTTGCTTAGCAGCTGAGCGTGTTCATGATTTACACTCCCCAGGGAGTAAACAGTATAATATCATGCGGTATGTGATGTAAAATAACAAAATACACTATAACAAGACTATACACGATGAAAGTAAAGCTTGGGGGAGCTAAGTCATATTTCATTTATCTCCCAAGGTTTGGCAGGTGGGTTTGACTGGCCAGTCTTACAGTCAGTACACCATTCAACTGTGGACGAAATCAGAAACGCTGGGATTTCTCACTTGGCATTCTTCTGTGGAGCACAGGAAGCATGGAGATAGGACCAACGAGAGCTTTCCTTTTTCCGGGTGATGTAGTGGGTTCCAAGCTGTGCTGCCAACTACAAGGCTGGCTGCTCAAACCCACTTCTGAAGGGGAAAAAACCCCGAGGCTTTCTGCTCCCATAAAGGTACACGGCCTCGGCAACCCACAGGGACCATTCTCCTCTGTCCTATAGGGTCACTCTGAGTCCGAATCGGCTCAATGGAAGTGAGTTTGGTTTGTTTGTTTGTTTGTTTTTTTGCTTTTCCAGCGAGATTTGATGCTCAAGTACACCACAGTCCAGGAAGCCCGGAGGTTGTTCCTGGGCAAGCACAGGCCTGTGCCGCCTTCACCCGAGCACCCACAGGAAAGGCACTGACAAACCTGTGAAAGCCTGCTGTCCCCTCACTGAGAGGACTTCCTGTCAATCATAGGTGGCAGCCAGGATCCAAGAGCTTTGAAGAAACCACTGCTGTTTCCTCAAGAAGAAAGAAAGACAATCAATCAATAAGAACCCATGCAGGGAGCAGGCAAGAGCAGCACTGAAGCACACAGCCCCCCTCTCCACCCCAGGGATTGTGGGGCTGCTGACACTTCAGGGGGACTTCAAAGACTTCACTCACTTCATCCTTCACCTTAAAGAACAAAGCGGCCATCTAGCTCAGAAGCAACAAAGCCCACATGGAAGAAGCACACCAGCCTATGCGATCATGAGGTGTCGAAAGGATCAGGTATCAGGCATCATCAGAACAAAAAAAAATCTTACCATAGTGAATGATGGGGTGAGTGCGAGTGAATGATGGGGTGAGTGCGGAATGGAGACCCAAAGCCCATTTGTAGGCCACTGGAGATCCCCTTGCAGAGGGGTGTCGGGGAGGAGATGAGCCAGTCAGGGTGTGATGTAGCAACGATGAAACACAACTTTCCTCTAGTTCCTAAATGTTTCCTCCCCGCTCCCACTATTATGATCCGAATTCTACCTTGCAAGTCTGGCTAGACCAGAGGCTGTACACTGGTACAGATAGGAACTGGAAACACAGGGAATCCAGGGTGGATGATCTCTTCAGGGCCAGTGGTGTGAGTGACGATACTGGGAGGGTAGAGGGAGAGTGGGTTGGAAAGAGGGAACCAATTCCAAGGATCTATATGTGACCTCCTCCCTGGGGGACGGACAACAGAAAAGTGGGTGAAGGGAGACGTCAGATGGGGCAAGATATGACAAAATAATAACTTATAAATTACCAAGGGCTCATGAGGGAGAGTGGAGCAGGGAGGGAGGGGAAAAATGAGGACCTGATGCCGGGGGTTTAAGTGGAGAGGAAATGTTTTGAGAATGATGAGGGCAATGAATGTACAAATGTGGTTTACACAATTGATGTGTGTATGGATTGTGATAAGATGATTTAAAAAAAAAAAAGAACAAAGACAGAACGACTGGCCCAGCAACTAGGAAGACAACTTTCTTCTAGAAATCTGGCAGGGTCCTGCTTACAATGTTCCTGCCAAACAGGGGAAGGGGCTTTGATTTTCCCCCCCTCAGTAACTGGAATGTCATCCCTCCAATCATTTATTCAGTCATTCATTTAACAAATGCTTTAGGGGTGGTATTATTGGAAGTCAATCGGCACTCATAGTGTCCCCACCCCCACCCCATGGACGGAGTCTGGGTGGCACAGTGGGTAAGGGGCTCAGCTGAGAACCAAAGGGTCGGTTTGAACCCACCAGCAGCTCGGCAGGAGAAAGACCTGATTCAGGAACGATTTGCAGCCTTGGACACCTTATGGGGCAGTTGTCGTCTGCCTTGCTATGAGGTTCATAGGGTTGCTATGAGTAATAATCCCCTCGAAGCCAGGACATTGATTGCCGTCTTTATGGGCAATGAAAAAGGAAGACCTACAAACTGATAGTGTCAGCGAAGAGCACCGAATATACCATGTTGCTGTTAGGTGCCATCAAGTGGGTTCCAACTTCAAGGGACCCTCTGTACAACAGAACAAAAAGCTGCTTGGTCCTGTGCCACCCTCACAATTGCTGTGCTGTTTGAGTCGTTGTGGTGGCCACTGTCTCAATCCATCTTTTTGAGGGTCCTCTTCTTTTTAGCAAGCATGATGTCCTTCTTCATGGACTCCAGGAAACACACATGATATCAGTCTTAGAAGAAGTACATCTAGAATGATTCTTAGAAGTGAAGATGGTGAGGCTGGGTCTCACATGTTTTGGACACGACATCAGGAAGCACCAATCCCTGGGGAAGGACATCATGCGTGGTCAATAGAGGGGCAGTAATCAAGAGGAAGGTCCTCTTGGAGATGAATTGACACAGGAGCTACAGCAATGGGCTCAAACATGAAAACCAATTGTCAGAACGTCGCAGGACTGGCCGGTGTTTCAATCTGATGTACACGGGGTTTCTCTGAGTTAATTGGTGTCGACTCAATGACACTAATCACAACCATCAATCTTTACAGGAGCAGATCACCAGGTCTTTAACCATGTGCACTGCCAAGGTTCCACTGGACGCTAGTAGGGACCACCAATGAGCAAGTTAAGCACCTAACAGAGTGTGTGAAACAGTGGTGGCTACTAGGAGGGGCAGGACAGGAAGGGGGACTGGAAGTGTGGGTAGGAGAGAGGAATTTGCTGTGTTGATGACAGTGGCCGGGGGAAGAGTTTCCTGAGAAGGCAGCATCTGGGCCCGAGCCAGAGGAAGCGAGGGTGGTTTGGTTTGTTAGGACATATATATGACTCTACACTCAGCAGATAAGGAGGACGCCGGGCAGGAGCCGGAGAGGGGCTGGGCAAATGTGGCGGGAGGGAGGAGGAGGCCGAGTGGGCAAGAGAATCGAGGCAGACTGGGCAGGCTGTCATTCCATTTCATGGACTGAAGAAAATTCTTCAAGATCCAGTGTATTCTGATTTTTTTCTAAACAACAGGACTGAATATAAGTTAAAAGTTTAAATGAAATCCGTGGATGGTGTCAATGGTGGAAGCACTCA